ACTTGAGGCCTCTCAACAAAAGCCAGTCCAGAATGAAGAAGTATGTCCACTGTCTGTACTATCACCTCGGACTTATGACCCCGGTCCAAGATCCCAGGCAAATCACTCAGGAGCAAGGATAACATCAGACCCGCGGTACACCCCTACACCTCAGCCATCGTCACCTTGGCGAACAAAATACACCTAGCCAGAAGTCGGTTAGAGAATGACACTCGTCAACTTCTGTTACGCCCTAGGACTCTGGTGCATAGACTAACCAACACGTGTAATGCATCGCCTCATTAATTACTAGTATAAAAACCTTCCTTGGGGGAAGTTGTCAAGAGTTCAAATCTCATTTAATACAAGCTCTTTCTCTCTCTAAACTCTTAGCTACTCCTCTTTAAAATACCGCTAGCGGTTTACTGGGAAACTATCATTCACGTTTGTTAATGCATAATTTTGAATGTTAACATATTTAATTCTCTATTAGTAAAAACATTAAAAATCAGTTTTTGAAATCTTGAAATGTGACGAGTTCAACATTATTTTCAAAAAAACAATAGTCAAAGGAGAGCAAGTAAATAGTGTAACATTCAACATGTTGCAACTAAAAAGAAATGAAGGATAGTATTTGAAATATATTTTATTAATAAAATAAAGAAAACGAATATATGAAATACAAATAATTTAAGCTCGATTCGAGATTCGAATTCGTACAAGACGTTTCGAGTACGAAAAATTAAAATACAAATAAGAATACTAAATTTGATTTGAATTATTATCAAATACAAATGCGAATATCAATATATTTGATTCGAATGTTGATCAAGTATATTTGATTAATAATAGTGATAATATTAATAATAATAGTAATAGTAGTAATAAGACTATAATATCTTTAAAAAGCTAGCTAAACCTCAAAGTATAGCCCATACATATACATTTGCGTATACATGCACATTCCAAGCAAATTTGTAATAAATCAGAAGTATTATAAGGAGTAAGAGTTGTAAACGAAACAAATAATTTTAATTCGTTTCGTGATTTGGATTCATAAATTATAATTAAAATTTGAAAATATAGAATATAAGTACGAATGCAAATCAGATTTTTGGTTCAAACATCTTTCAAACAAGAATACACATAATTATGTATTTGTTCGAATAATAATGAAATATATATTTGTTTATACATAAACAAAATCAACTATTGAGTATGTGTGTGTGTGCATCAACTACCCACTACATGTGTGTAGTATAAACTATATATCTAATGATGTTTTTTTTATTATCAACAATGCTAAATATCTAACATAAAATTAGAGTCATTTTGACTTTTTTTGAAAGAGAGTTAGTTGTTTAATTAGATTTTGATATATACAATTATCAGCTCATTTCACACATTATATATTTATATGTATAATTTCTAATATGTATGTGGTAGTGTTTATTTAAAAAACTTTGAAATATATTTATGTATAATAATGATAAAAATGTAATCTGAGTAGGCTTGTTTTCCAAACATTGCCGAGTGTGACACCATGTGGATCTTCTCCTGCAAAGGTTGAAGATTTACATCCCTACATTTCTCAAAACAGATTTCATAAAATCCCAATTCCAAGCTAAGGAACTTTTCAAAATCTCAACTTCGAGAAACAGAGCCAAACCTGTTAGAATTGGATCCCGGCTACGACACCAAACATGAATTTATTCTCCAAGAAACCTACAGCTAAAGAGGTGCTCCAAAACAGTAAACGAGAAATGGCCAATGCCACCAGAGGCATAGAGAAGGAAGTTTCTGCTTTGCAATTTGGAGGAAAATAAGCTTGTTGCTGAGATAAAGAGAACTGCTAAATCTGGAAATGAGGCTGCGACAAAGATACTAGCACGCCAGCTAATCAGGCTAAGACAGCAAGTTGCTAATATAACCTGCAAGGTAGCCGAGCTCAGATGAGAGGCATAGCAACTCACACACAAGCAATACATGCCCAAACTTCAGTTGCTGCAGGCATGAAGGGTGCCACTAAAGCTATGAATAAGCAAATGTGTTAAAAGGGAGTCATGTATGGAAGAAATATTATTATTAATTAATCTGTCTTCCACGATGGGAGAGTTATGTACATATATACAATTGATGCAGCGAACTAATTGGAGCTTCACGCTACATCCTACGACGGCAGCGTGCGAAATTTTCTAACAACAACCGGATAAGCACTATCTCAATACCTACGTATGTACAAGGAAAAAAAATGTGACAAGCAAATAAAATGTAACATTAAATATATGTAGCAACACCCCTCAAGATGGAGCATGGGGGTCATAAATGCCCATCTTGGACAATAAATAAGCGAACTAGTTGGCTCCAAGTGCTTTGGTCAACAAATCGGCAGGTTGCTCAGTGGTAGAGACATGAGAAGGAGTTATAGTGCCTGCGTGGATATGATCCCGAATAAAATGGCAATCGAGTTCAATATGCTTGGTTCGCTCATGATACACCGGATTGGAAGCAATGTGCAAAGCAGCTTGATTGTCACAATAAAGACGGACTGGGGAGGAATGTGTGACACCCAAAGAGCGAAGCAAGTTCCGCAGCCAAATAAGTTCACAGGTTAAAGCGGCCATGGAGCGGTATTCAGCTTCTGCCGAGGAACGAGAGACCGTTGCCTGTTTCTTGGTGCGCCAAGATATAAAAGAATCACCAAGAGTCACAAAATATCCAGTAACAAAACGACGTGTGAGCGGACAACTAGCCCAATCAGAATCACAATAACCTGTTAAATTAAGAGCAGAATCCGACCGTAACAAAATCCCTTGGCCGGGGTGACCCTTAAGATAGCGTAAAACACGCATAACAGCTTCCCAATGCGCCACCCTCGGATTTTGCATAAACTGAGACAAAATATGAACCGAATAACAAATATCTGGCCGAGTCAATGTAAGATAAATAAGTTTGCCAACTAGCCGTCTATATCGATCCGGATTGGAAAAATAAGGGCCGGTATCGGTCTGTAGTTTATGATTCTGTACCATAGGAAAAGAGAGTGGTTTGGCACCGCTCAAACCAGTTTCTGCCAAAATATCCAGCACATATTTACGTTGACATAAAAATATTCCAGTTGAACTGCGCGCTACCTCAATTCCTAGAAAGTATTTCATAATACCCAAATCTTTCACTAGAAAGGAGGTAGCAAGAAATTTCTTAAATTCCTGAATCATGGAATGATTATTACCGGTAATCAACAAATCATCAACATAAATCAAAACACACAGAATTCGATCATCTCTGCGCAGAGTAAATAATGAATAATCTGCGTGTGACTGAATGAAACCATATGCTCGCAAGGAAGTGGTAAGCTTAGAGAACCAACAACGTGGCGCTTGTCGCAGCCCATAAAGCGATCTAAGCACCCGACATACCTTGCCAGAAGAAGATACAGAATAGCCGGGAGGCAGATGCATATAAACTTCTTCATGTAAATCCCCATGAAGAAATGCATTATTAACGTCCATTTGATGGAGCTCCCAGTGGCACAATGCTGCAACTGCCAAAATGGTACGGACTGTTACCATTTTAGCAACCGGTGCGAAGGTCTCACTATAATCAACGCCATGTACTTGTCTGTTGCCGCAAACCACCAACCGTGCCTTGTACCGTTCCACCGAGCCATCACTTTTGTATTTTATTTTGAAGACCCATTTGCAGTAAATAGCCTTCTTGCCACGTGGTAAATCCTGAATCCGCCAGGTTCCCGTTCGTTCCAGAGCTTTTATTTCCTGCTGCATAGCTTCTCTCCACTTCGGATCACGTACAGCTTCACCAAAACTAGATGGTTCTTTAGTGATTGATATAGCTGCAAGAAAAGCACGGTGCGGAACCGAAAAATTATTATAATTTACATAATGAGTTATGGAATACGGATTACCTGATTCAACCGACTGAGGTGACTGAACGACAGTGGGAGAGTTTATTTTTACGGTATTCAGTTGCACTTCGTAGTCCTGATGCCAGGCTGGCCGTTGGCGTTGTCGAGTCCCCCTTCTGCTCGGGTTGATTTCATTCATCGTATGAGTATCCGTGACGGTGGGACCATTCTCATGCTCCGCTGTCAAGGTTGGACCACTTTCTTCCTGCATGGTCATGCTGTTAGGAGTGATGTTGTGGGTTGCCATCTCTTCACATGTGTCAATCCCCTGGACATTTGGTGATGAAGAATCCTGCCACGTGGAGGTGCATGGATTTGTATCATCAATGCCATACCTTCGTACATGATCCTCTAGTGAGGGCAAGGTGTGTTCATCCGACAGCTTTTCACATTCTGGATTACGTTCCATCAATTTGAACGGAAAGCAAGCTAAGTCTCAACGAATTTCACGTCACGGGAAACAAAATGTCTATGATTTTCCAAATCATACACCTTCCAACCCTTTTGTGTATAAGCATAACCCAAAAACACACACCTTACACCTCGTTGTGCAAACTTGTCTCCCGTTTTATCCTTTGTGTGTGCATAACATAAACACCCAAATACTTTAAGATGATTATATAAAGGTGCTTTGTTATACAACATTTCATAAGGACTTTTATTTCCTATCACAGAGGATGGTACTCTGTTGATCAAATATCCTGCAGCCAACACACATTCACCCCAAAATTCAATAGGCAAATTTGCATGGAACATGAGAGTTCTTGCTACGTCTAGTATATGCCTATGCTTCCTCTCAACTCTACCATTCTGTTGTGGGGTATACACACATGATGTTTGGAAAATTATTCCAATGCCCAAAAAATATTCCCTTAAACTAGTAAATTCTTTACCATTGTCACTTCTCAATACTTTCACATTTTTGTTAAATTGCCGAAAAGTCATGACAATGAACTGCTTAAGTATATTTTTTACCTCACTTTTGTCTTGCATCAAATGCACCCACACAGCTCTGGAATAATCGTCAACAATTGTAAGAAAATAACGTGCACCAGCCGTAGCCGGTATGCGATACGGACCCCAAATATCACAATGAATCAATTCAAATGGTTCAACAGCACGTGCACTACTAATATCAAAAACGTCACGAGTTTGTTTTCCACGTAAACAAGCATCACAAACTTTACTTTGAGTAGACTTCAACAATGTTTTATTCAAATAATTAATTGAACGTAAAACTTTCACTGATGGATGTCCCAACCGAGAGTGCCACAAGTCACCTGAGTCCGACGTTTCCACTGCGTGTGCTTCAGCATGATCAAGACTCCGGAAATAATAAACTCCCCCGCGTCGATCACCCACTCCAATCGGTGTCCTCGAAAGTAGGTCCTGTATCACACATAAATCATTAGTAAAAAATACATCACATTTCCGTTGATCAATTAATTGTGCTAAAGATATGAGATTGCATTGCAATCCTGGAACCAACAACACGTTTTCTAGTTTCAATTGTGCACTGATCCTCACGTCACCACTGTACGTCGCACAAGTTGTTTCACCATTAGGTAATTGTACTGAAATTGGACCCAGTTTGTACGTCTTCTTCAGAAGTTGTTTATTCCCCGTCATGTGGTATGATGCACCGGAGTCTAGGAGCCATGCATTATTAGTTTTCGTACTTGAGAGTTTTTCCTCGGAAGTCCCTGCCTTACATTTCTCCATCATTTGCAGTAGACTCCGCCACTCTTCATCGGTAAAACTCGGTTTATGCATGGGAGCATCGTTGATTCGTCGTCGTCGTGCGTGGTTCCGGTTTTCGTCACTTCCGCCTGTTTCTCCAGCCATAGTGTCGTATTTATCGTAAAGAAGTAGCCCAGGATGGTACTGCTCTGATACCAAGTTAAAAGGGAGTCATGTATGGAAGAAATATTATTATTAATTAATCTGTCTTCCACGATGGGAGAGTTATGTACATATATACAATTGATGCAGCGAACTAATTGGAGCTTCACGCTACATCCTACGACGGCAGCGTGCGAAATTTTCTAACAACAACCGGATAAGCACTATCTCAATACCTACGTATGTACAAGGAAAAAAAATGTGACAAGCAAATAAAATGTAACATTAAATATATGTAGCAACGAAATGGCTCCAGCTAGCAAAACAGGCAAAGGTGATTCAAGATTTCCAAAAACAATCAGCTCACGCCATAGATGATGCTTTGGACAATGATGAAGCTGAAGACGAAACCAGGTCCTTGATGAAACCGGTGTTGATATATATTGCTTCACAGTTATCAGCAGCTCCAAAAGGAAAAATTGCTGGGAAAAAGATTGAAGAGAGCAGTAGCTCGGGAATTGATGAACTGGAGAAGAGGTTGGCTGCCCTTAGAAATCCTTAGGTTCGAAACATCATTTTCCTACTGTTTCTTAGTATCAGCTTCTTGGTAGAATTCTTTGTACATGCTCCCCCTCCCCCGCATAACTATCATCTGATACACAGCCACATAGGAATTTGGTTTAGGAGCCTCAGAAGAGTAGTGGTTTGGTTCTTTATCATTTCAATTCCTGCCTTTTAATATGCTACAAAAGAGTGATTTGGTTCTTTGGAAAAAAAAAAATAATCATAAAATTGATTCACTTCAATATATTATGCACAACCTAAAAATGCATCGATCAATTAAATTTTAAAGAATGTTACAAATTAAATTCTAAAAAGACATATTAAGTCATACCATGCACTTATGAGCAAATCGTTTCGATATTTGTATATAAGTTAACTATTCATATCATTGAACAAATATGAATACATATAAAAAATAATATCCACTTCATATTCAAAGAAATTAAACAAATACAAATACAAAGTCACACTATTTGACTCAATTTCATTCGTTTACAACCCTACTTGAGGCCTCTCAACCAAATCCAGTCCAAGATCCGAGGCAAATTAAATCACCCAAGAGCAAGGATAACATCAGACCCGGAGTCCACCCTTGCACCTCGGCCATCGTCACCTTGGCCAACAAAATACACCTTGCTAGAAGTCGGTTAGAGAATGACACAAGTCAAGTTCTGCTACGCCCTAGGACTCTCACCCATAGAATAATCAAACATGTGTAATGCATTTAATGCACCGACTCATTAATTACTAGTATAAATATCTCCCTTGGGGGCAGTTGTAAAGAATTCGAATCCCAATTAATAAAAACTCTTTCTCTCTCTAAACTATTAGTTCTCCCTATTTCTCTCTAAAATACCACTAGTGATTTACCGGAAAGCTATCATTCACGTTTGTTAATATATAATTTTGATCGTTAATATATTTAATTTTCTATTAGTAAAAAAATTAAAAACCAGGTTTTGAAAAATTGAAATGTGATGAGTTCAACATTATTTAAAAACAAACAATTATCAAACACTAATAAATAAAATATACTCAGTAGTCAAAAGAGAGCATGTGAATAATGTAAAATTCAACATGTTGCAACTAAAATGAAATGAAGGATAGTATTTGAATTATATTTTATTAATGAAATAAAGAAAAAAAATATAAAAAAATAACTAAAATGATTCTCTACATAAACTTCAATCAACCAATTCAGTTGGAAAAGTAACTTCAAACTTTTCGTACTTAACAGACTCTTATGGATTTGATAAAATAAGTTATGGATTTTATGGATTTACAAAAAATTTATGGATTTAATAAAATAAGTAGTTGATAAGACTGCTAAATTAAACTGAAAATAAGAATAAGACTCTTATACTGTTTTTTCAATTTGTTACGGAATAGTGTATTAATATTCTTTCATTTAAAAACCTCATTGATACACAGTGTAACATCATTTGAAATATCTTTTTCTTATTGGTACCTTAATAAAATAAGAAATAATTACATACATATCATCAAAATAAAGATGATTAACAAAAATATAACTAGTTACCAGAGTAGTAATCAAATCATAGTAATTCATGTTCAAGTTTTGAACATAAGTTACCACAACACTATATTGTAGTAATGAATAGTCATATTTATGTAAATAAGTTTTATTTTAATAATATTCTTGTAAAAACCTTATAAAATAATTATTTAATTGCGTATTGATGTCTCACAAATACAATAGTTCTTTGCCTATCCATAATAGTTACGTTCAATAGTTGCAACTTTGTGAATTTTACACTGTTCACACATAGTTGTTACCTTGTTGGAGTATGATTTTCTACTAATATATACGGTAATATATATTCAAATTATTATGTATAAAATATTACTCTCTCCGTTTCGCAATAAAAGTCATAGTTTGACTTCACAATTATTAAGGAAATAAATTGACTTTACTGTAGAGTACATTGTTTAAACACTGTTTGACACTGTTAGGACACTGTTTGACACCGTTTGACATAGATTTCTTTGCCAAATAAGAAAATAAGGGAAGTGTGACTTTGTTTTTGAAACATCCGAAAAAAGAAAGTGATTTTGATTGCGAAACGGAGGGAGTATTAAATTTCTCTTACTATGAACTTGTAAAATATTACGTACAAGTATATTTTTATAATGTTTATAAATACGTAGGGTTTAGATGTGCACTTTTTCACTTGTGCCCTAACTGTAGCGCATGGAGTTTTAGCTGCTCCTTTGCATATTTGTTTTATGGATACATATAAGGGATCACTTTATCATGGTGCTCAAGTTGAATTCGGAAAATTTATCCTCGGAGGTTGCTTCTCCGCACATCTTCTCCCTCGCTTTCGTCTAGAGTTTGTTCTGTCCGGTAGACGACTTTCGCCGTTTCTTGTCCGGGTGAACGATTTGTTGCAAAAGTAGGAGGGCGGCCGTTATCGCGCTCTACCTCTCAATGGTCTGCTTCTCTATAATCTACTTCTCTATAATCTATGCTTCTGGACGTGCTGATATGGTCCGTTACTACGCCATGTGGTGCATTTTGTGGACTCCACTGCTCATGTTCTAATTCTATCATTTCAAGATATCTATTTACAAAACTTTCAACACAAAAATTGGGTAAACTATTTACCATTCATGTGCATTAATTGTGTTTCAAATGATAACTTAAACTTATTCATCAATTTACCGTGAGGGCATCCCGAATTCTAAAACAATTATTTGATATAAAATAAGATTAAATAATATATGATGGTTTGATCATATAGATCTATTGTCATATACTACGTATAATTCATATAGTTTATTTGTAAATGAATGAAGATTAAAGATACACATATGGTTGCATTTAAAACATTTTAAAAGTGCAACAAGCTCCATCTATAGGTGCACAATAATACATTAATCTTAAAATAATTATATTTGGAGAAAGAAAATATAGGATTAGAACAAAATAAAACATGTATCTATCCTCCTTGTGGCGCAAAAGAAGATCATAAAATTGTAATTCACAGTAATTTAATTTCATAAGAACGCAACAAATGAAAATCATAAATAAAAGAGGAAGATGCGAGGAGCGTTTGGAGTTTTAGTTTGGCATATTATTTAGCCTTGTGTTATTAAAAGACTAATTCTTAATGGAGAAAACAGAGGTGATAGAAGATAAACCAAACTTGTCAAACATCTCATCATCCATTCAATACTCACTGATTCTATGTCTTTTTTGGTGAAATATAGTTTTAGACATTAAAATAAAGCGTTGAAGAACTGAAATATATCTCAACTCAGTTTTCTAAGGGTCTTATGATGATTTCCATTTTGTGGCATCATTCTGGTTTTGATCTAGAAAAGACGGAGATTATAGGGAAGTAAATAGGGAACGAAAAAGATGGGCCAAAGTTTCCAAATATTAGCGTTCAGAAGATACAATTACCACGAAGCCCGAAAAAATGAATATGCAATGTATTTCCCTCATCTATAAAATAGCTAGATCTAACGGTGTGGAGCTTTCATTTAAACCAAATCCTACAAATACATGTATGTGTGTGTGTAGGCTTGTATGTATGTATGCATGCATGCATGTGTGTATATATGCATTTATGCAGTGGCGGAACTAGAAAAAACATTAAGCAGGGACACAATCGCATTAGGAGTGGCAGCTGGCGGTCCGATGTGGCGGCTTGACTCTGGTTCTCTCCAGTCATCGTTGCTGCTTGCTTGCGCTGCGCCCGGGGAACTGCTTAATTGTGTTTCCGTAGCTTGGGCTGGTTGTTGGCTTTGGCCTTTGTTCTTTCTTCCTTGGTTGGGATGTTGAGTGGTGGGCCTGTCTTGGCCCGGAGGTTTAGTTTTTTTCCCTGGCTTCAAATGGCGTTGTTAGAGTGTCATATATACTTAAAAATATAACTGCGCACTTCGCCCAATTGATCGTCCGTGTCCAGCGCTATGCTCTAGAAGCAAAACCGGCCATCCAAGCTCGCCGGAAATAGTGGAAAAGACCAGTCCGACGGCTCCCAAACCCCTATATATACCCTAGCTCGTCCGACCGAAACAAGGGCACCTGCCCCCCTTGCCCCCCAGATCCGCCCCTGCATTTATGTGTGCATGTATGCATGCATGTATGTGTGTATGTATGCGTGTATGTGTGTATGCATGCGTGTATGTGTGTATGCATGCGTGTATGTGTGTGTATGCATGTGTGTATGTCTGTATGTATGTATGCATGTATGCATGTATGTATATGCATGCATGCATGCATGCATGTATGTATGTGTGTGTGTGTGTGTATGTGTGTATGTATGTGTGTGTGTGTATGTATGTGTGTATGTATGTATGTATGTATGTATGTATGTATGTATGTATGTATGTATGTATGTATGTATGTATGTATGTATGTATGTATGTATGTATGTATGTATGTATGTATGTATGTATGTATGTATGTATGTATGTGTGTGTGTGTGTGTATTTATGTATGCATGCATGCATGTGTGAATGCATGCATGTATGTGTGAATGTGTGTGT